ATCAAGGTGGTTCAGGGGATAGTTCAGGTGATTGACTCGCTCAATCAGTGGGATAATCGACTCACTCGATCAATGGACGAATGAAGGATGTTGAATCACTCAACAAACTTAATCTGCAAGTTTCTAAAGCACTAAGTGACTCACTCACAAATAACTAAAGAACAAGATTGACAAAGACTCAAACTTTGACAAGAAGAAAACTTTCTATTACTTTAAATTGATCAAGGGTCATTACAAATGAACAAGCTAATGAGCTTATGTAGGCTCAGCTACACGTGCTAATAATGTAAAACAAGAAACAAATCGCACAAAATTAATTACACTTGCCGTTGGGACTTTATGAACCAAATCGGCAAAATAAGGCAAGTAGAGAGATGCCTTGGGTCTTGAAAGCTTGGGTGTGAATCCATTACTCCTTGGGGTGTCTAGGTTCATTGTATGAAGCTTCAAGACGTGCATACATGAATAAGGAAGAAGTCTTTGCCATTTTCTCAAAGTATTTTCTGGAGTGCCATTTTGGTTAATAATAGCAGAGAATAATTGACAAAATTACCCTCAGGAGAGAGGAGAGAGTGTGCGCTGGATTCACAAAAACTATAGCAAATTTAATTTTTTTGTGGCTGCCCAGGAGAGCATTAAATGGGAGTAGTGTAGGCTAATACCCAGAAAATAATTGATTAGTTAAATAATTAGAGAATAAAAAAAGAAGCAAACCCAGATTTAAGGTGTATTAATGGAGGACAAGTAACAAAGATATTTTATGGAAGTGGTGGATGCAACCATAAAATGGACAAGATATAGAGAGATGTCGTCCATCATTTATTGTGGGTAAAACAATATTTCCACTTTAATCTTTCGACATTGCAATGTGGACGTAATGGACAAGATGGTGTGCATCATCGAGAGGAGATGGACATATTCAACGTATGGAAATTCACAGATCGTGGTGGACAAATAGCAAGATGTATGTCTATCAGGGAATATACAAAATTTGCAGAGTTTGAGGATAAAATCGCATAAGTTTTAGGTGTTAACTTTGCTAAGAAACAAATAGCTTTAAGCTTTTGGTAGATATTTCGGGCTAAAATAGAAGTTGATGTGACCTCCTATAGGATAATAGTTGGTTGCAAATCACCGAGGTGGAAGAAAAGAAGAGTCAATCCCCTTAGATTGTGCTCCATTAGTGTTGTCTTCAGCGATGTTGTCTACACAAAATGAAATAGTCGAAGGACAATTTTGAAAACAATTTTATATAGTCCATCTACATACAAAAAAAAAACAAAAAGAATGAGTTAGCAGATATTTAGATGGACAATACATTTAGTAGGCTTCCTGACACTAGAAAAGGATAACTATATAGGACTAGTTGCATAAGTGGTCAACAACATTTTCCGTCCTCCGCTGCGTGATTCTGGTCCATCAAAAACTTGTGTTGATTGCCTCGATGCACAACTCTTGACTGGGTTTAGGGACAAGGATTTATGTCCTTTGCGGTGGATCGAAGAGACGATCTGAGAAGGACAAAATTTTAGTGTTACAATGGACAACATCGGAATGGAAAACAAGTCCACAAGGGAATAAATTTGGAATTGTAACTTCTCTCTACACATGCAACCTCAGCTTCGATGGAAGCCTTAACGACGTCGACATCACCTTCTTCGTGTTCGCCGGCGTCGACAGTTATAACTCTGCTTTGTAGGTAGGGTTCTCGGGTTCGGCGAGTGTATCTCTAGGCTAGGCGGAAGAAGCTCCGTTGTTTTAGTAGAGACAACATTTATGTCCACTAGATCTAGTCCACCGGATCTAGTCTATCGACACACAAAATGTGTGATCCAAAGTGTAAACCTAGATGGATCGTAGATGACGACTTCCATAGATGCATCACTTGTTTCATCCTCTAATCAATCGCTTGTGTTTTCGGAAGATCTGTACAATGGACAAGCTTATTCTATCGATTATGGTCCATCAGATCTGGTCCATTGATAAAGAAAATAACGGGCTGGAAAAATGGATATGGTCTGCCGGCATGGACTACATACCTAGAGTGAAGTATCGTTATTCATCGTTGTGGTCGAACAATTTCATCACAAACCAGATAAAAACAAATAGAGATTGATCCCCGAAAAATAGGAAGTTGCCGAGAGAGAAAATTAAGAAAAAAGAAAAAGTGAAAAAGAGGAACTTTGAAGTTTCGTACGTTTTAGATTGTTTGACTTTATGTCAAAGAAGAAAAAGAAAAATAAAAACAAAACTAATCTCAGTTGTACAAGGGTAGAATGGTCTTCTTAGGTTGGAGATGTGGCACCCGGGAGAAGGAAAATGTAAAAATGGCATTGGCTATAGAAAACGTTACTGTTCATGGCAGATCGTACAATTTTCTCTTTAAAGATACCCTTATATGTTTACCAATGGACATGGTTTAAGAGACTAGTAGTATATAGAAAGTGTTTATTAAAGAGACTCAAAGGAAAAATGTTTTATACAAAGAGAAAGCTTTTATTATGTATAATGACTACTCTCAGGAAAATACAAATGACTCAATTTTAGACACTCAAACTTGTGATCAATACTCTTCATCAAGCTTGATATTAATAGTAAATATATATATATATATATATATATATATAATGGGAGAGTTTTCTCTCCCTCTAAAGCAATCTACGTCAGCATTTTTTCTAATTATTGTGTCAAGCCCAACAAATAATCTGAACCCATATTTTTTGTGTATCATTTTATTGTCTTTTGGCGTGTTAGTTTGTAATTTAATCTCCAACACTTTTATATCCAAATTGAGTTTATTTTCTATGACATCAAAATGAACACCTTGTTTAGCCCAATATATTATAAACCCAAATAAGTTAATAGGTTTAGGTTTTCTCTCACTTACGTTCTTTCTTCTACGGATTTATGTCATTTCCACTTCAGCTTATCAAAATTCAGAAACTCAGGCCCTTTCTGATTTAATAATCGCTCATGCGATTCTTTCTTTTCAAATCTCCACGCCTAAGGTACTTAAATGCGTAATTTAATTCTAACATATATTAACAAATTCTAAACTCCTTTCCTTTGCTTCTTATCCCCAACTAAGTTTCGATGATTTTACATTTATTTTGATAATATAGGCGTTACTGTTCAGTCTGAAAAGGTTTAGCATATCCTCCCTGCAACTTCCTCACTTCCTAACATTCATTTAGTGCATAATACGTTAATCATAATTAATAAAACTTAAAAATAAAGAAAAAAGAAATTTACATAATGTTAACATAGAATTTCTTTTCATGGTAATAAATAAATAATTAAAATAAAAATATGTGAAATAAATTAAATTAAAAATAGTAAAACCAATACTATGAGAATTTTATTAGTAATAATAGTATGATTCAAACTCTAAACAACAGCAAACTTTAAAATAATCATACTTTGGAATTTTAAATGTTCTAATGTGTTTTAAAATTTAAGTAAATTTTAAATACATGGTAAAATAATACAAATTGTTTTTAATTTTAATTTTAGAATTTTAAAGAGGAAAAATAAATTTAAAGTGAAACATAAGTTCTAAAAAAATATTACATATTTTTATTAATTATGAAATTTTAACTAAAAACAAAAGATTGCTAAACTAATTTAAAATACTCTAAGACAAAAATATTTGAAAGGTCAAACTTTATGCCGTGAAATTCTATTTAAAAATATAAAATTATAAAAAAAAAATTATTATCCATATTCTAAAATAATTAATAATTAATTATCACATTATTCATGAGTTTTACTATGAAATATATATAAAAAGTCATATATAAGTCGCAAAGTGATATGTAATTTCTGTAGCATACCTCAAAAAAAAAGTTTACTTATTCTCAAGTAGAACTATAACTTTCTAACATAATGAAAAAAAAGAAAAACAAGTTTGATATCCCATCATTTGAATCAAATGCTTTTAACCCAAAATGGACTATTATTAAGGAAGAAATTGTTATGATATGTCTTAAACCCATTCATGATTTGGTCGAGAGTTCTCTTTTACCACATTGCACTTTTTCCGATGGATAAAGCAAGTTCGCTAAACCTACTCTAGCGAAAAGATATTATATATGTATCTTTACACTTAACGATGTATATGAGGCTCGGTAAATTCGTGTTATATATAGAACGGTGTTATATTTGTATCAACATCTAATCGTAAATGGTCGTCGATGCCATTTACTCTTCTCGCAAATCTTTTCAAGTAATCTTTGTTACCATGTAATAATATTAAATCATTTATTTGTCAAGAAAACACTATCGCCAACAATATATATGTTGTATATCGCTTAAAATTTTAGTTTAGTGTTTAATTATATAGCGTTTATCTTTTAAAATTTGAATGGTTATAGTTATGCTCAGATTAATATTGATAAAAGAGATTTTAAATTAATATCTCGCGCAACGCACGGGTACCCAATCTAGTGACTAAAAAATAGCATATTATTTTCACACTTATTTACACACTACATATTTCGCTTCACATCACATATTTCACATCAATAGCTACACACCACATATTTCACATCACTATTTCACTTCATGCTTTTATTTATTTCACATCAATCATTCACGTTATTTCATACTTTATTCATGCATCAAGGCTTGACTAGGGTTTCTAAGTTTCAATATAAATACTCTAGCTAATGTATTCTAAGTTGTTGGTTGATTTTTATTAATAAAACATATATGCTTTCTCTCTTTCAAGTCTTTGTTTCTCCTTTCTCTTGATCCATTGATACTAGAGAAAAGCCGAAAACTGTTAGATATGGTTGTTGATCTCGTGATCAATTGATACTCGGGGTTTCAAGCGTAATTACTGCTGCATTAGTTGCTATCAGAGACAAGGGTCCTAATCATGCCTCTTAAGAAGAGTCTTCAAACCTAGCTCGATGAACACAACGATTAATTTCGGAAGATAATGATTGAGATGAGTTTTCGCGACATTATGCATATAACGTATCGTAGAACATTGCAAAGATACAAGAATAAAACCATTTGTGCCTTTCAATTGCATCGTTTATACCAATGAACCATTCATACATCATCTTACATAAAATTTATACCCACATTCATAAAGTCTCTCGTATAGTCGTATTCATAAGACTTCCGATATGTGAATCCTCTAATAAAACTCATATCTTGGAAGCATCAGCTGTAATCTGACGGTTGAGTGCAACAGCAGCCTTTGAACCGTTGGGACGGCCGAGATGCTTGCTGATGAAATCTCCAGCTGCAATTAGCTTTCCCAAGTCGACATTGGTTTGGACGCCTAAACCATTCAACATGTAAACCACATCTTCTGTGGCTACATTTCCAGAAGCTCCTTTTGCATATGGACAGCCGCCTAGTCCAGCAATTGATGAGTCTACTATGCTTATTCCCATCTGCTTTGCACCAACAAATGTTGAAGCATAAATGAAATTGTATAAACCGATATGTTATTCTATTAAAGCTTGACTTACTTGGAGAGACATCAATATGTTTGCAAGAGCTTGTCCATAGGTGTCGTGGAAATGAACAGCAAGCTTGTCCGCTGGCACAACTGCCATCACGGCTTCGAGCATGGGAACCACAGAACCTGATTTATTCAATTCACCAAATAGAGGGACTTGATTAATGAGAGAGTTTAACTCTCAACCAAGAGCTAGCACCCAAACCAAGACATCCACACCCAAAATAATCTGTCAAGGCATTTCTCATTAACCTAGCCCTCACTAACTACTCTCTAACCAACTGGCAACAGCTTTAATCGGATGGATGCATTCCTAGGCTAGGTAGCTAATATTTGAGCCATCCAATGCTTATCATTGTTATATGTATGCATATACTCACGCACTAGCGTAACTGAATAAACTATGCAAGATTTTTTGTAAAGAAATTACCAGGAGTACCGATCCCGATTGTGTCACCTAGAGAAATCTCAAAGCAGCCCATGTCGTGGAGTTCTTTCACAACATAAGCTACTTTCGAGGGTGGAACGGCTCCCTCCACTGGACACCCCACAACGCAAGATACATACCTTCAACATTGGGAAATAATCATGGACTTTATTTAGAACCAACAGTTTCTGTTATAAGTGTTATACTAGGGTCGAAAATTGGAAATCAGTTCCACCAATAACAAGAATCAAGAGAAATTAGGAGAAACGAACCCACGGACGGGAATCCCATGCTCCTTTGCAGCAGTGGTAACAGCACGATATCTCAAAAGACTGTCTTCGATGGTACAATTAATATTTGACAAGGAGAATGACTCAGAAGCTGATGCAAAGATTGCAACTTCCTTAGCACCTGCAGATACAGCCGCTTCAAAGCCCTAAAAATAAACAAGCACTCCACGTTGGTGTTCAAAGGTAAGAAACAAATAATTGTTTCAAGAGTCTTAGGAGAATATTGGTACATACTTTCAGATTTGGTGTCAGAACCGGCAATCGAGCCCCATCTAAAGTATTTACAGCATCCATTACATCCTTTGCATCTGCAAGCTACAATGCGAAATAGTACAAATTTATGTTCAGTTAAATTAGTTTCACTTAAGCATCCACTACAAGTATTTCTACATGGAAAATGGTTTTCTCTATTGTGTTGCCTATCAGAAGCAATTTGAACTATAGATTGTAACCAAAAAAAAATCCAAGAAATGGTATGCTTGTTTCTCTGTTCAATGTAAGAACAAGCGACCATATGAACAAGAATGGATTTGTTTTCGAGTTGGCAGCTAGTACTCAGTTAAACTTATTCCATGATGCGTGAGAGATTTCAAAATACACTCCTAGTGAGATGCCCAACAATACAAACTGAAAAACTATATTGCTGCATCTTATACACCTATTTGTACAGCTAAACTACAAAGGAAACATCCATTTCTATCATAAAGTTGTAGAATTGTGTACCTACAGCAAAAGTAAGTTATTTCTTTAAAGTGGTCGCTTTATATGCTTAATTACGGGAGACACCAAATGAAAGTTCAGGAAAAATAAAATTCACAAACACCAGCAGTACCTGGGGAACCCATTTTGGTGATACAAAACTTGTAGCCTCGACAACGGACAATCCAGCAGAAACTAATCTCTGAATTAGTTCCACCTTTATACATGTGGGTACTATATTTTTCTCATTTTGCAGGCCATCCCTTGGACCAACTTCTACAATCTTCACAAACTTTGGTATACCTTTAGAGATCTGAATTTCAAACAGAAAAAAAAAAAAAAAAAAAAAAAAAAAAAAAAAAAACAGAATAAGATTAGAGAAAAAGGTTACTGTATTGGGAAATGAAAACAAGATGAATCATTTTAGAGACATACATTTTTAAAAATATTCTACATAGAAGGGAAATGAAAAACTATATTCATCCATCAAGCAAATTACCTTATGATTTATATGTGGAGTGCTATTTTCATTGCTCAATGTACTATACTTATGCTCCTTAAAACTTCTGGATTCCCTTAAAATTCCAGAAACTGTAGAAGTCCTTCCCGAAACTGAAATATTCCGAATCAGATGTAGTTCGCCTTCAGATAATTTCCGAGTATGCCTTCTCCACGGAAAAGACTCTTTACCAAAACTTCTATCATCATCACTGTAAGTCAACAAATATTTCAAGACTATAAGAAACAACAAAAATTGACACAAACTAAAGATGCCATAGATAAAGCCAACTTACATGCAACTATTTGAGGTACTGCAATCTCTTCCATCAATCCAACGATGTCCCATGCCGAAATCATCCCGAGGCCGACAAGCACCGGAAGAAAACCTCTGAATCCTATCAATTGTACTCATACTTGGCAACTTGTCAAATCCAAGCGGCTCCTCCAAACTCGACATGGTGGTGAGGAAATGTAAGACTGGAATAGAAGGATGATGCAAATGAGTTTTGTTTGTTAAACTCTTGCACCACATAGAATGGGCTCGTCTCACCCCATTCCATTGCATTTTTTTTTTCAGCAACAGTTCTGGAGAAAATTGTCAGGTCCATTGCTCAAAACATTTGTTCAAATACTCCAAAACCAAATCCCAAACTCGATTCTCTAATTCTTATCCAAAATTTGTAAAAATCTACGACAAATGTTCTCCGATTTGACGAAAATCATACCGTAAAAACTCGTAATCGTTCGTGATCGGTACAATCGAAGAAAAAGGAGAGGACGAGACTTACCGTGAAAGAGGTGGGATCAGTTTCTCCGGCGATGAGATTTGTTTTCCGGTGACGTAAAGGAGACGGAGGTTGAAGAAGAAGAGACGCGTCAAGTTTATCTCCTCTAATTTTTCTGGTTGGTCCGTCCTCTTTGGAGTTGGGGAGATGTGTGACTAAACATTTAATTTAGTCCTCAATAAATACATAATTAATTAATACATGTTTTTTTCGTTCTTTACTGATTGGACCAGAAATTTCAAATAAGTGTATTAAATTATTATTATATGGTGGAAATTGTTTTTGGAATTTTGATCATATTAAGTAAGTGCATTTTAAACGAGTGGAGTGTGTGACTGTGTGAGATACATACAGTATCGTTGAATTAATAGGCAATTTTCATAAATATTTGAGTTCTTTTTTTCAACCATCAATTTGTCTTCGAGAAAAACTTATCATTATTAATTTTATTTTCTTATTTTTCAAAAATACTACAAAATTAAAACTAAAATTTTAAATTTCGGAACTAAAGTCTTAAACAATAAAACATACCCCTAAAAACTATATTGTAATTTTAACATAGTGGCCGATTGGTTGGGTACTTTAAAGGCTTTAAAAATATTTAAACTCTTTAAAGCAATTATTTTGTCAATCAAACTTTTTGGTTTTTATTTTTTTTTAAAGCATTGAAAGTCACTTTACTTTTTGCCTTCTTTGCTATCTTAATTTTTTAGAAGCGTCAAAAACCAGGTTTTAAAATCTAAACAGTCCTTACCAATCGTAGCCATAGTCACCTAAACCTAAAATTTTAAATTTTACATATTTGAAAACAAATTTTTGAAAGAAAAAAATTATAGAATCATATCAATACTTGTATTTTTTTAATATATAAAAAACTTGAAAGTGTGGTTGTAACTTATTAATTAATTGTGGAGTTCTCTTAAGCTTTTCCGCAAACCTGGATCTCATAGTGGTCTTAATGAATTTCTCTTAATTAAATAATATAAATTTAGTGGATGTTTAAGTAAATAAGATGATGTTTTACATGATATCGGACTATTTATTTAAACACATACAAAACAAAAATATCTAGTTTACTTATTTTCACCTACTTGAATGACATTTTCAAATAAAATAAGACTAAACAAATAATGCGGGAGCTTTTGAAATCTTGAGTTGCTTTTTGGAATTTCTACCAATAAGTGATTTATGAGTCCTAAAAGAGTTCATTTTTTAATCTTTGAATATTATGCTTTGGCTAACACACTTCTATGTTCAATAAGCACTTTTAATGATTATTTTTATACAATTAAAAGTCACTTAAGGATAAAGGTGATGATCCAATGATGTTGAAATGGATAAGATAATATACAAAATGCACATTGAAAACTGATAAGTAGGTGAAATTAAGAAATTGGACATGGCAACTATCATGAAGGAAATATGTTAGTTGCAACAGTTTCTCAGCTAACAACTGTGGTTATACTTCAAAGCAACCACAATGTATGCATCTAAAGAACATAAAATAACAATGGTACAAAATTTTCAAGCATTAAGGGAAAAATAAATTACTCCCAACAACCCAATTCCTTTCTTCTTCTATTGAAGAGTAATCTCATATATGACCCCTTCCAAGTTTGCTACGGTACACCGAGTCCCGGAAACTTCATTCATCAGCATCCCGTGCCGAGCGCCTTCCCTCAAGATTGCAGAATCCATCCTGAAACAATGTTTTTAAATCATATGAAAATCGCAGCCATAAGAGGAAAATGTAAATGTTTATGGCTGACAAACTTACTGTTTAGCCCGTGATACGTATGCTAGTATGAACTTGCAGTTTCCGCGTCCCCTGATACGCAGAAGCTGCTCAACACTGTCAAATAGCAATGGCACACTTGATTGCTGAAAGCTTACGTAACGTCAAGGCTTTTCATTATGGAGTAAATCAGAGGGTCCTATGGTTAAACTGATCTGAACTAACCCAAATCTGAACCTAACAGAAGATAAACCACTAAAACCTTATGTTCTTTGTTGATTCTTCAAACTAAAGATGTATTTTTATAAGCATCCCAATCCAGACCAATACCAGAACGTCATCAACAACATTACAATCAACCACTGTACTATGTGGATGAAAAAAAATTGTTAGCGAACATAAGGATATAGATATCAGCTCCGAGGATAAGATCAAAGCCATCATTGTGTTTCTGTAAAATTTCACCTAGATGATCACTATTTCCCCATTCTAGCTTTGCAGCCTCTAGTTCTGTACATAGAAATGTCAAAAAGAACCCAATTGTAATATAACGATGAGAATCAATAGCTTAATTTGTTTTATTTTCTAACCAGCTGAGGGGTTAGGACCGCACGAATGTCCATGCAGCTCGATGTTTTTCTTCAGTATCTGAAAAGTTAAAAAAAAAAAAAAACTGATTAAACTTCTACAAATGATGAATTTTGAGAGAAACTCTTCAGCAACGCAACCTTGCCTTGAGCACTTCATCGTTATGGTCAGTAAAAATAACTTTACGGCAAAATTTGCTACAGAGAACACCAGTTATACCTGAGTTATAAAAGATGAAGATCAGAAACTAAACATGAACATTCTGCATATTAAGGAACTAGTCTCTCTATTATGTCCTCAAAGACCAAAGAAAGAGCACACCTTTAGGAATTTATATATGTGAATGCGAATAACGGTGAATTCAGGTAACTACTAACTACATACAGCATATCTAACACCGAGTGATGATGTTGACAATATAGATGAAGGCATGTGCAAAGGTGGTAAATCACCACTCAGTACTAGGATAAACAAGATGCATTAGTGTGTTACAATCAAAATAGAAAATGAGAGAGGTCATAAAAAGCACAAACCAACACCAGATCCCAGCTCCAAAATTGAACATCCTTGGAGAATCTCAGCATTTCCCGAGAGATAACCATTCATAAGCATCGCACCAGGCCAAACCAGCTGCCCTGTTAAATCAAAATCAGCTGTCCCACAAACATTTTAGACATTTTGTTATGTAAGAACCATACAGCTTTACGATATACACTACAAGGATAGAGATGGAAAAATCTCTGAACTCTCATTGCTCATTAATTCATTGGCAAAAGAAGTACAAAGAATACAAGAGTCTAGAATACAGAACAGTAAGTCTAGATTGACTAATGAGGTAAGTGATTTACGAAAATTCCAAGAACATTCAAAAAATCTGTTCAAACAATACACTAATCAAAAATGATTGTTTGAATGAATTCACAAAAAAAAATCAGTCTTTGTTAATCAGATCATAACTCAAACCTTACAGCAATCATATCAAAAATTTAATTTAAGAGTACAGATACTTTGAGTTTGATACAATACAACGATAGTGGAGAATTCAAAGAATAAACCATCTTCGAATACAGATCAGTGACTTGAGGTTGACTAATAAATCAACTTTGTCAAGATTTGAAGAGCATATAAACAACAAAAGTTCAGCTCTGATCATAACACAAACCTCACAACAACCAAATCAAATATTATACCAATAAAGTTTCCTCCTTTATCATCTAAGAAAGCAAAAAATACAATGCAAGAAACTCACTTGAAGCTGATTGAAGACAGTAGAGCTCAAGAACATGTGACCCAAATGTAAACTTCGTCAACTGGTAACTGCATCCGACAAAGACAAAACAAACCTGTCTTAACAAACCACAAACACAAACTTAACCAAAGGCTATAAAAACCAAATTAAACAAACATTTGTATTCTTGTTTCTGTAACATAATTACTCATCGTTAATGAAGAATGACTCCAAGCAGACTATTTCTTCTTCCTCTTCTTTATTTGCTTGTTTGTGCTTCTCTGTTTCGCTGCCCATCTTTGATTGCAGAAACTAAATCAGAATATACAAATCAGATTCGAAGTAAACTATGCAGAGAGTTGAAGGAAACGTGTCAGGTAAGGGAATCGAGAAAGCAAAGTATTGATTGATAGGTTACTTTGTCAGAGAGGTGCGGCAACAATGGCGTCTGATGACCTCGACTGACTACAGCTTCGTGCGGCGGTTCCGGGAAAAAGTGATTGGAGAGTTAGAGAGCAGACCAAACCGTTTTTTTTTTTTGGTTTATCTGATTTTAACCGGTTTGATAACCCCTAAGGCAAACAAAACATCATCTTTTGTGTTTCATTATTGATAACAGACAATATTAGGGTAGGAAAAAAAGAAAAAAGAAAAAAAACCCAGACAACATTAGAGAAAAAGCCTAAAAACTACTGGTCTATTTTTTTCTGGGGAATTTCAAAAATACATATTTTCAATATAAAATAAAATTTAAAATAACTGCCATATCATTTAAATATTATAAGTATATTTATGAATACTTATAATAATGCAAAATAATATATGTAAGTATATAAGTTAGGATAATTTAATATAACTATTTTGAAATTAATACATATTATTTTGTGTTCTTCATCCTCCTTGTCGAGGGTTATAAGTATATAAGTTTCATATTTTTTCAAATATGTTCGTGGGATCAATTGGTTAAGTTCCTTGCTAAATATGTTTGAGGTCTTGGGTTTGAAGTCGTATAAGAGATGCTGCCATATCATCACACACGCGGAGGCTGAGTCAGCATCCATTAGTGTTGACTTATCTTCGTTAACGTGGACTCTAAATTTGGCTCGATTTGAAATGTTCAGGTGTGAAATTTGAATTTTATTAAAGTACATGTAGAAATTGACACTGCTCATTTGTACAGATAGAAATTGACACTGCTCGGTTAGGTACATGTATGAAATGGCCCTTTTCCCCAAACAAAAAGTCAACTTTTGTGTTTCATTATTGATAACAGACAATATTAGGGTAGGGAAAAAAACAGACAATATTACGGGAAAAAGCCTAAAAATACTGGTCTATTTTTTCGGGGAAATTTCAAAAATATCTCTTTTAATATAAAATAAAATTAAAAATCATTGCCATATCATTTAAATATTAATAACTAATTCAGATGAAAGGGCTAAAATTAAATTTTTTTATTTTTGTTTTGAGATGGTATGTATGAAAATAACAACAAATTATTGGTTGAAAATTGAATCACAAAAGGGTAGCTTAACATACACATATACACTAGAATCGGACCCGCGCTACAGCGCGGAAGAAAGTTATCGAGCTATTATCGCGGAAGAAAGTTATCGGGCTATTATTAATATGTTTTAATTTACTAAGTGATACAAATGTATTTTAAGATATGTTTTCTTTACAAATATATTATTTTTATATTATGAATTTGCTATTTTCATAACTAATTTTTTAATTAGTTTGTATTTAATATTATCCAAAAACAGTAGCGAGTATGGTTAGTGCATGAAGCTGTGTTAAATAAATGGAGTTGATTATGGTAAATCATATATGTCTGTAATGAATATATGTTTTGAATGACCAATCTGTAACGGGTAGTATTCGTAAAAATATTATTGATTACTTGCTTTACTATATAATTCTGAGTTTAACAAAATAACATGTGAATTACTGTGATTTATATAGTTTGATACTTAATATAGTTTATCAGTCAAACTTATTCGTATTATAAATTTGATTTAATCAATATTTGAATAGTATATTTTGTTAATAAAACTTTGTATGTACCATTGCTAAAATTTGATTTAAATATGTTTTTTTCACCAATACATTTAACCAACCCGTTTTAGATATCCAATCTTTATTTTAATAAGATTTTAAGTTTATAATAATATTTTATTTATCAATTGAGTAATATATTTCCGTTTTGAAAAATTCAAATTGCAACATATTCAAAATAAAAAGATGAATTTTTATTCTATATTTATATGATATATTTTTGTATAATAAATTAAAATAAGATCAAATAAAGGTGAAAGGAGGATAAACTATAAAAATATTAGGAAATCCGCTGAGAAAATCCAAATTAGATCCAAACCCAGTTAAATATCCGATTTCGAAGTATCCAATTGTTTAATTTCAGTTTAATTTTTAATTTTGACCTGACCCATCAACCCATGTAAAATTGCATTTCTCTAGTAAAAGGGAATTTATACACACACTATTTATTTCTTTCATTAATATGTACATACACACACTTTTACATGGGTTGATGGGGATTTATAAACACACACATACATAGACACATACATAGACACACACACTATTTATTTCTTATTTTTGGTAAATTTATGCACACATACATAGACACACACACATACTCACTATTTATTTCTGATTTATGGTACATTTATACATACATAGACACACACACAGTATATATTTCTTAGACCCATTGGTCTTGATTCTTATTATTGCAGATCCAGAAATAGTGTAAACTGATCCAAAGAAAGACGTAAAAAACAGTTTTTTAATTTATTATTATTATTATTATTCATATCCTGAAATTTGAGAGAAGCGATGTTCCATCGAGACCTTTCTGAAAGAATCCTTTTGAGTACTCTGTTATGGTCGTGTCTCTGTACTTTGGAGGGTTTTCTTCAGACACAAGCTCTTTCATCGGTCCATAAACCCTGGAATTTGGACGTATACTTGAACTGAAAAAGCTAGCTACTGAAACCCTTGGTCCTTTCCTATTTGCAAGAACTCTATGCTCCACACTTACAAACTTATCGTTCGTTATCAGCTGCAAGAAATCTCCGATGTTGATGACAAGAGCTCCGGGAAGAGGAGAGACATCAACCCAAGAATCTTGATGAAGAATTTGAAGACCACCGATGTTGTCTTGAAGAAGAACCGTGAGGAAGGAGTTATCTGAATGTTTGCTTATCCCTAAAGTTAGGTCAGGTTGTGGACAAGGTGGGTAATAGTGACAGAGCATAAGCAATGTCTTCACGCAATCCATGCACTTAAGGGTCTCAGATTTCAAACCTAATGCTTCTGAGAGAAGCTCAAAGAGCAAACCACCTAAACTCAGTACATGCTTTGAGTATTCAAACATAGCATCCCTGAGTCAATAAACAACCTTAGATATATCAATTACTTACGATACATGAGTACATAAGGGTTAAGTTAAGTTTGTTCTAATACTTACCTGCAAGTATCAGGGAGCTCCTCAGGAGTTGGAGGATCTGGAGCCATGTAACAAGTAATAGAATCTCTCCAGTTAACAGACGAAGAAGAACTGTATAGATCGAAATTACTATTGTAAACAAACTTGTTCTTGATAGCATCACGTGAGAAGTATAATTTCTTGACCTCAGGATCATCCTCGTGAAACCTACGAACTGCATCTTTCATCTCTTCAAGAACGTTTAAAGGAACACCATGATTCACCACTTGGAAGAATCCCCAATTCTGTGCTGCGTTTCTGACTTGTTCCACGACAGCTTCTCTTGATGTTGTATCCACATGAACGCTTGCAAAGTCGATGATAGGGATCTCTAGGTCTGAAACAGAGACAGAGGAATTCTTGTCGGGTAAGATATCTTGAGTAGGGTGGTGGAAGATACGAGGCACTTGGGTTATTTTAGCGTCTACGATCCCTTTGACACCTTCTTGTGTCTCATCAAAAGCTTTGCGCTCGGCATAACGATCAAACTCAGTTGAGTTTTTGGTCACCATGGTACTCTTCTCAAGGTTTCTGCTATGTGAAAGAAATATCTAAAATGAAGATAAAGAAGATAAGGTTGAGAATGAACTTGTAGAGTTTGTCTTTTCAATGTATAGGACCAATTAATTAGTGTCCATATTTTTCTTCTTTGTGGACTTTCTGACCGTGTGTTACATCTGTTGTAGTTGAACTTTGTGGATTGTACAACTGCTGACTTAATTGGCATACTGATTCACCACTTGTTGTGGTCCAAGTTTTCTTAAATAATGCAAAATAATAAGGAAACCCATCTTCTCTTCACGTGCTCTCCCAATTAATGCATGATATGCATGTAGCCAGGTAATACATACTAGGATAGAAAATATTTAGAAAACAAAAGTTACATTTTATTATACAGTCTTTACCATTGTTATTCAAAGAGCCTTGACGAGTGAGTCGACAAAAATGCATTGTGATCGACATTATATTCTCATTGTGATCGACATTATATTCTCTCGATAAGATTACACACTTTTTAAATTAACGTAATGTTGTAAGGGGATGCAATGAATATTGGTGATGAGAATATCGAAAGTTCTTTTGGATTGTGGGGTTCCAAGTAGGGTGTGTTGATGTTTTTGATGGGAAGTACATAAAATAAGTTTTCGAATCAAGGTGAAGAAGAGTGCAAAAGAAAAGATTTCTCAAAGAAGAGTGAGTTACCATTTTTAAAAATTTTCTTTGGAATTGGACTGCTTAAAGACAAGTAAAGATTAAGCATGGGATAATGTGTTAGAGCATCTCCACGAGTAGAGGTACCTATTTTGATTTTTTTTGTAATATAATAGTAATATTTTTAAGGGAGATTTTCATAGATACCATCATTTTAGGTTTTTGGGACAAATATACCACATAAGCTAACAATTTCCATTCCTAACATTTATTATTAAACATGTGGACCAAAATATCATTACCTCTAACTATTAGGAGATAAAGGCATATCTTTATATTATTAAGTTTATATTCACAATATGATAATGATTTATTATGTGATAAGGTTTATCACATGTCTTATGTTCTTTGTATAAATACCCAAGTTGGGATATCAATAAAACCAAGTCAGTTCAATACCTTCTTCTACATGGTATCAGAGCAAAATTAATCATAAACCTAGTTTTCATCATAAAATTTTGATTTTGTGTTATCTTGCGTGCCAAGTTAACTATGTCTACGGGAAGTGAACAAGAGTCTAGCTCTTCTGGAGCTATTGTTTCTCCTCCCTCGTCCACGGTGGTTTCACCATACAACTTGTCGAGTTCCGACAATCCGAGTACTGTTATCACCTCTGTTTTGTTGAATGGAGAGAACTACAATGAATGGGCTAAAGAGATGTTGAATGCTCTACAAGCCAAACGTAAGACTGGTTTCATCAATGGAACGATCACAGAGCCATCCAATACTGATCCTGATTTTGAGAATTGGAAAACAGTAAACTCCATGATTGTTGGTTGGCTTCGAGCCTCCATCGAACCAAAGGTTAAGTCAACTGTTACGTTTATTTCTAATTCTCATCTTCTCTGGGAAGAACTGAAACAACGTTTCTCTGTGAGCAACAATGTTCGAATTCATCAAATCAAATCTCAACTCGCCTCGTGTCGACAAAACGGGCAAAAAGTTATCGATTATTTTGGCCGGTTGTCGAAACTTTGGGATGAATTGAAGAATTATCAAGCCACTGCAGTTTTTCCTCATGGTTCAATCATGACTGCAATTGTTCAAGAAAGAGATAATGAAAAAGTTCATCAATTTTTCATGGGTCTTGATGACTCACGGTTTAGAGGAATTAGTCAGACTATTCTCAATATGGATCCTCTTCCAAAGATAGGTTTCGCTTACTCTAAAGTCATTAGAGAAGAACAGCGGATCGGGTCTTCACGTCTTCAAGAGGAGAGGCACGAAGCTGTTGGTTTTGTCACCCGACAAGTCTCGTCTGGGACTGAACCGTCATCTCGAGCTCGTGCTGAATCTTCCATCATCAAAACACGTCCGGTTGAGTGTTCTCATTGTGGTCGCTTGGGTCATGAGAAGAAAGACTGCTGGCCCATTGTTGGCTTTCCCGATTGGTGGCACGAACGTAATGGGGGGAGGTCGCGGTTCTAGTCGAGGTCGTGGCGGACGCGGAGCTGGCTCTGGTCGTGGTCGAGGTCAGGTCTCTACAGCACATGCAACAAGTTCAAATCCCTCCGTTTCGTTCCCGGAGTTTACACAAGAACAACTTCAAGTACTTTCTCAATTAATTCAAGAAAAAACAACCAGTGGTTCGTCTGATAAATTGTCTGGTAAGATGAAATTTGGCGATGTTATTCTTGACACAGGGGCTTCTCATCATATGAATGGTCGTCTATCTCTTCTTATTAATGTTGTCTCCATTCCACCTTGTTCGGTTGGTTTTGCGGATGGAAGCAAAACATTTGCTTTGAGTATGGGAGAGTTCCCTCTTTCGGACCGAGTTGCACTCACAAACGTTCTTTTTGTGCCAACCTTGACTTGCACTTTGATTTCAGTTTCTAAAATTGTCAAACAAACAAAGTGTCTTGCTACGTTCACTGATACAATTTGTGTTTTACAGGACCGTTTTTCGAGGACTTTGATTGGAAGAGGTGAAGAGCGTGATGGGGTGTATTATTTAACGGATGTGGCGACTGCAAAGATTCACACAGTTAACGTCTCTTCTGATCAAACTTTGTGGCATCAACGGTTGGGCCATCCTAGTTTTTCGGCAATTTCGGCTTTACCTATGGTTTCTGGTTCTGAATTATCTGTTAGCTCTCGTTCTTGTGACATTTGTTTTAGTGCAAAGCAAACTAGAGAAGTTTTTCCTAGTAGTACTAATAAAACTACAGAATGTTTTTCATTAATCCATTGTGACGTTTGGGGGCCTTATCGTGCTCCTTCTTCTTGTGGAGCTGTTTATTTCTTGACTATTGTTGATGACTTCTCAAGATCTGTCTGGACGTACTTAATGCTCGAGAAATCCGAAGTTCAGACTGTTCTTACAAATTTTCTTGCCTATACTGAAAATAATTTGGCAAGTTCGTTAAGGTGGTTCGTAGTGATAATGGAACAGAGTTCATGTGTCTCTCTTCTCTCTTTCATCAACGTGGAATTATTCATCAAACGTCTTGTATCGACACGCCTCAACAAAACGGCCGCGTTGAACGAAAACATAGACATATTCTCAATGTAGCACGAGCCTTGTTATTCCAAGCCAGACTACCAATAAAAGGGAGAAGCTGTCTTAACCGCTTCTTATTTGATAAATCGTACACCATATTCTATTCATCATAACCGGTCTCCGTATGAAATTCTTCATGGTTGTAAACCGGTTTATGCACAGTTGCGTGTCTTTGGGTCAGCATGTTATGTTCATCGTGTTACACGTGACAAGGACAAGTTTGGTGAACGAAGTCGCTTGTGTGTTTTTGTGGGTTACCCGTTTAGCCAAAAAGGTTGCGATATTGAAAGAGTTCAATTTCTAGTCTCTCGAGATATTATATTTCGTGAAGATGTATTCCCGTTTGCAAGCTCTCATGATATTCCATCGCAAGTTTCACCTCCACCCGCTGTACATGATGATGATTGGTGTGAACGTCTGTCCGTCAGGGGGAGTTCTGATGTTGTTGTTCCTCCACCTGTTCCTCCATTGTCACATGATACATCTATTATTTCATCAGTTCCGAATACCAATCAACAAGATTCTCCGGATAATTCAAACATTTCGGATAGTGTTTCTCCATCTACTCCAGTTCTTGAGGTTGTTTCTCCTCCTACAGATTCTCCGACAAGACCATCGTTGCAGGCTACTCCATCGGCTTCGCCTATCATACCTCCAGTTTTTGATGAACTTACTCCTCCTCGTCAAGGAAAATGCCCAGTCAAGCAGTCCGTTCGTCTCAAAGATTATATATTGTACAATATCACGACAAGCATCGTCACCCCTCACGCTCCTTTGTCCTCCGATTCTCAGTCCTCGTCTCCGGTCCAAGGTAATTCACTGTATCCCTTGACTAATTTTATTTCTGATTCCAAGTTTTCTCCAAGTCATCGAGTGTTTTTGGCTGCGATAACAAATGGTTTTGAGCCCACAAATTTCAAAGATGTGGTTCGCATTAAGGTTTGGAATGATGCAATGCATAAAGAAGTTGATGCACTCGAAGTTCAACACACTTGGGATATTGTTGATTTGCCACCGGGCAAGACCGCTATTGGGAGTCAATGGGTTTATAAAACAAAGTATAATGCTGACGGGTCTCTTGAACGTTACAAAGCTCGTCTTGTTGTTTGTGGTAATAAACATGTTGAGGGGGAGAATTTTAATGAAACGTTTGCACCAGTTGTTAAGATGACTACGGTGCGTACACTTTTGCGTCTTGTTGCGGCTAAACAATGGAAGGTTTATCAAATGGATGTCAACAATGCATTTCTTCATGGCGATCTTGAAGAGGAAGTTTATATGAAGCTTCCTCTGTGTTTTCATCGTTCTCATCCTACCAAGGTTTGTCGTCTTCGGAAGTCTTTATATGGTCTTAAGCAAGGTCCTCGTTGGTTGTTCAAGAAGCTTTCCGATGCTTTGTTGCGGTTTGGTTTTGTACAAGCCTATGATGATTACTCTTTATTTTCCTACACCAAGGAAAATATTGAGATACGAGTATTGATATATGTTGATGATCTCCTTATATGTGGTCATGACAGTCATATGCTACAGAAATTTAAAGAGTATTTAGGGAAGTGTTTCTCTATGAAGGATTTAGGAAAGTTGAAATATTTCCTCGGCATTGAGGTTTCTCGTGGGTTGGATGGTATCTTTTTGTCTCAACGTAAGTATGCGTTGAATATTATTGCTGATAGTGGTCATCTAGGTTGTCGTCCAACTCAAACTCCACTTGAAGAGAATCATCATCTTGCGTCTAATGATGGCCCTCTATTGCCGGATCCTACACCTTATCGCCGTTTGGTTGGCCGGTTGTTGTATCTTCTATATACTCGCCCCGAATTGAGTTACTCGGTGCATGTCTTATCTCAGTTCATGCAAAAACCTCGTGAAGCACATTGGCATGCTG